AAAAAAAAAAAAAAAAAAAAAAAAAAAAAAAAAATTATACATGAAAAATGCATCCGGTCGACGTGGGACCACGTCGCTTTAACATAAAATAAGTTTCTAAAGTCCTGAGGTGTGGTACCCATTTACTTAGTTACCTATCTACCTATCTCTACCTACAAACTACCCAGTTGGCTAAGCTGGCTGGATCACGACTAAAAGAACCCTGGGGAGCAACCCGTCCGAAGAACTCTATGGCGGCGCTGCCTTGCTAGTATTCCAGGGACGGTGGGCTGCCTGCCAGCTATGGAGTAAATGAAAGTGCTCCTGCGAGATACGTACTCATTTCTTTAAAAAACTTTTCCTACCTTTCTACAACGTGAATCTCATCTAGGGTTCCTTCCTCGAACGGCCGGCTTCCTTCGGCTTCCACTTTCAATGCCAGAGCAGATAGATAGTTCTTATCGATTGTCCTATACACCTGTACTCTCTCCATGGAAACGATAGCAATCGTAAATATATCGTGGATTGCTCGACATACTATCCTCCTGTTACTCGATTCTGTCTCTTGAATAAATCACTTTTTATATGGAATCACTTTTCTATTCATCAAAGAGAACATTGATTTGTTCAGATATTATTACCGTAATTTCATTTTGACTGGTTTGATGCAATCGATATCGAAATAGGTTACTTCGATATATATAAGACTTAACGAACATCGCCTACGTAGGAAAAGACATGATCCACTCTTGGGTCTACGCGGAGTCACTATAAAGGCAGAGTGCATAGCGGCGATAGCTCGGTACAATAAACCGCGTTATAAATAAGGAATGCCGTTACGGCTTAATCGATATACCCCTATTTAGCTCCGTTACGTGGAAAGTCGCGGAGGATGCCGATAAGCGTTAGATATTTAACGATTTTCTCTTGGCAGCCAAAGATACGAGAGCCAGATCGTCCGTGGGACGTTCCCGGTGCTTGGGATGCTGCGACAAAATTCTATCTGAATGCTGGCGGCACGAAGCCTCCCGTCGGACTTCGGGCGTTGCGACACGCGATACGCAAATAGCACGTGAGCAGCTTCCACGAGAGAAGCAAATAGAGAATGAATGAGCCAGGGAGCAGATAGGGAGTCTATAAAAGACGCAGGAAGAAATGGAAACATTCGCTCGTGGTTCGCCTATCGGGTGAAAGTCGTTGACCCGTTAACAAGCTGCAAGAACGTTTTGGGAAACAAGCCCAGAACAATTTACTTTCCACGGCGAATACCTACTTGCTAAATCAGACGAGCACTGGGTCTATCCTTAGACTATTCGCCTAAGTAGATAAATGGGCAGTACGTCGACCTGAGCTGGCGGCTCCTCGCCTCGTCCGGTCGGCCAGCCTTGGCAGCCGGCCGATCGGTGAGCAACGACCCCGCCTCGTCCCTCCTGCTCCGCCACCTCCCGTTCCTTCATCTTGGCCTCTTCCTCGTCTTCGCTCAGAGTCCTCGAGGAGTCCCTTCTTTCCGAGGAGCCCCCTCGCTGTCAGGGGCCAAGTCGCGGACCGGCGCGGACGTCGCTGGGATCCTAACCAGTCGATTGTCTCGCGGCCATTCGAGTCCGTGATTGCTGTTAAACTGCTTAGTGCGGACAAAGTCAGAGTGAGACAGGTAAGACGGGCGAGAGAGAGAGAGAGAGAGGGAGAATGAGTGGCGTAAGAAAAGAGTGGGTACCAAGGGAGAGGGAGAGAGAGAGAGAGGTGAACTTCCTCGAATACCAGAGAGACACGTACCGTTAGGTGACCCAACGTCTCGACCCACATAGATTGGGATACCCGAGACTCTGGAGGTTCGTTCGCGACGCTCCTCGTCGACGCCAACCTCGGCCACGACGCTGGCATCCTGTCCATTTGGATTCTCAATGGGGCCATACGATTCTCACGAGCAACGGGAATACGGTCTTTTAACATTCATTAGTCTCCACGCTCCACTCCCTGCTCGATCCTCGACTCGTTCGTATTCCACGAAATTCACCTTCGAAATTCTCTTTCGGCTTGACGTAAACGCTATTCTGCGTCTTGCGACGGTGAAACTTTTCAATGAAACGGATGACTATACTTCCTCGTGATGGTGAGTCAGGTAATGGGGGGCGGGGGGGGTGGTACCTAGGTACGGGTAACAGTTTGAAATATTCGTAACCTGAGATCACGGAGCTTAGATGATCCTTCCATAACTTGAGGCGAATGCGGCTACTCAGTTTTCTACTGTAGTAGCTATTCCAAGGCGAATGAGGTAATCTTAAGAAAATGTGACATTCTTCGTTTTACGTTCGATAAAGAGTAACGACTCGAGGCGGTAGAACGTCCCGACGGCCTCTGAGAGAATTCAGACCTTCTCGATTCTCGGAACGTGGATGAAGCGAGTATAGGGAAAATAGACACAGAGTCAATTAAAGAAAATTATCCACGTAGAGTTTCGCTGTCGATAATGAGTTTCACGTGAACTGATCCTCTTTGTCTTTCAGCCCTGACACAGGCGAGAATCACCGAGGAGACGCAAATGGACACGCACGAAGGCTCGACGGTCCACTTGCAATGCAGGTTTCCGCCGCCTGTAAACGTCACCAGCCTCTGGCTGATCCACACCAACAACAAGCACGAGAATGCTGCCGTCGACGAAGTATCTCTGTCGCCGGATTATTCGGTCTTCATGAACCTGAACGAGGGTCGATACGATCTTCAGATCAAGAACGTGTCCTACGAGAGGGACAACGGAAAGTTCGAGTGCAGAATCACGGGTCGCGGAACCGGAAAGAACCTGTACCGGGAGTACATAACCCTTACCGTGCTGAGGGCACCCGGACCTCCGAGCATCTCGCCGACCTCGGCACCCGCTACCGAAGGGCAGCGTCTTCAGCTTCAGTGCAACACCAACGGCGGAAGTCCCGAGCCTGACGTCAAGTGGTACAGGGGAACCAGCACGTCCCTGCTGCACGCTGGGAAGACCCTGGAAGTGATACCCTCGAAGGAGGATGACCGTGCGAACTTCAGATGCGTCGTCAGGAACCGGGCAATGCCAGAAGGTCAGACCCTTAACGCCACAGTTACCCTGGACGTCAATTACTTTCCCAGGGTGACTGTCGGCCCGGAGAACCCGCTGAAGGTCGAAGCCAACGGCACCGCCACCCTGATGTGCGACGTCGACTCGAAACCCATGGTGGGCTCAGTCCGATGGATGAGGGACGACAGCTTCATAGCCACAAACTTCAAGCACGTCATCCGTAAGGTGACTCTCCAGGATGCGGGCAGATACACGTGTCTGGCTGACAATGGCCTCGGGAGGACCGGAGACAATTCCCTGGTGCTGGACGTCCTGTATCCGCCGACAGTCGCCATCGAGGGCGGGGTCATCAGGGAAGCCGATTTCGAGAGCACCGTTATAGTCCACTGCAACGTCTCGGCCAACCCAATGCCGTCCGTTATCGAGTGGCTACGTGACGGCCGACCTGAATTCCGTCAATCTGGCAACATCCTGAGACTGGTCCGGGCGACAGCCGATCACGCTGGGAACTATACGTGTCGCGCTCTCAATACTATTCATCCGACCGGGGGAGAACGTCGGGAACACGTGGCGTCCGCTCGTGTTACCATCAGAATCCGACACGAACCTGGACCCGCACGTATCACTCCTGATTCCCCGGTGGCTGTCGAGGGATCCCGGGTTATCCTTACTTGCATGGCCAGTCCGGCTGGGTACCCCGCGCCCAGATACAAATGGTGGAAGGAAGGAGACGGCGGTACAGGCATATCCGGTGGCGAGATCTTGGGTCCGAAGTACGAGATTGACTCCGTGCATCTTGGCAGCGAAGGTACCTACAAGTGTCATGCCATGAACGAGATTGGCAATGGGGAACCAGCTTCGGTCAAGTTGACTGTACATCAGCCGCCCAAGATACTGACCAAGCTGCAACCTCACGTTACGAGAAAGTAAGTATTGTTGTGTTTTTATTTTTGGTGCGCGGTACAGGAGATACGGAGGGATCTTACCGGAAACGTTATTATGTTTTCAGGGTCGGGGAATCTTCCTTTGTCGTGTCCTGCGTCGCTCAGGGTAAACCGAAGCCAAACGTACGTTGGTTGAAGGACGACGAGGAACTGACGGCCGGCGCTAGTCTCTACGAAGTCAGTACAACGTCCACGGAAGGACATAGCAACGTTATCACTGTTAATTCGACTTTGAGCTTCATTGGTCACGGTCGCCCGAAAACTGACACTGTCGTCGCCAGCGATCGCGGAAAGTACAGCTGTGTCTTTGAGAACGAGGTGAAGAAAGTCGAGTCGACGATGATGCTGAAGGTCGAGCACCAGCCAATCGCTCTGCACGACCACGGGAAGGTGGCCTATAATCTTAAGGAAACGGCGGAAGTTGCCTGTAAAGTACAAGCCTGGCCGAAGCCCGAGTTCCAATGGAGTTTCGGAACCAATGCTGCGCCCCTGCAAGGATCATCCAGCGACGGGCATTACGAGATATCGACGAGCAGCGACAATTACGACGTGTACACCTCGGTGTTGAAAATGACGAACATCAGGGCCTCCGACTACGGCGTCTACAACTGCCGTGCGGCCAATGCGCAGGGTAGCATAACGACGACCATAAGACTTCAAGAGAAGGGCGCACCCGAGAGACCGACCAACATCACTCCCGTGGACGTGGGTCCGACTCACGTGGCTCTGCTTTGGCAATTGGGCTTCGACGGGGGACTGCCGATCACCAAGTACTTTGTTTCGTATCGACGAGTAGCCGGTGGCGACGAGGTCGTGGCTCCCGACTGCGCGCCTCCTAGAGGACCGGCTGGTCAGTGGCTCGAGTTGGACTGTCGTAGGTCAAATCCTTGCAACGTTACCAACCTCGAGCAACATCAGACGTATACCTTCAAAGTAAAGGTCTACAACACGAAGAATCACTCCGACTACTCGGACGAGGTAAGCGCCACCACGGCCGTCGCAAAGATTCCAACTCCTCTGAGAGTCAGCTACGACCCCGAGAGTAGCACATTGGCTATCAACGTGGGTGCGACCTGCCTGGCCTTGGTGGCCTTCATCGAGAGGTCGGACGAGGCTGACAATATATGGAAAGTCGTGGACGAGTGGCCTCTCGAAGTCCTTGGAAGTGCTCCTACTCAGAGGGAGGGTAGCCTGGACCTGGAGGGCTCCACTTCCGATCCTCGTCTGAGGGTCAAACTCTGCCTCAAGGTGGATCATTCGAAGTGTGGAGATTACGCCGATGCCGAGAGTGAGTTCATTTACTTTTATGCTTGTCAATCTTTCAAAGACAATCGTGAGAATTCTTAAGAACGCTTTGTCATTCCTTTTTAGTTGGACCGTCCTACATTGCCCATGCTGGTGCCTTGGCGACTCCGACTTTGATCGCGCTGGTCGTCAGTGGCGCCGTCTTTGTATTGTTCGCTGCGCTGTTGCTCTTGTTCTGCCGCTGTCGCAGGAAACACGCGGCCAAGGCCAAAGATTACGAGATGGATACGAACGCGTGAGTAAAATACGAAAGACGAATCCGTGTACACTCAATGGACGAGGCAGTTCGATTGAAGGCTTTTATCAATCTTACGAGTAGCATCAAATTCTAGAGATTCTGTTAAGTTATATCCCGCACCCTCCGAATACATAAGCAATAAATTCGTATGAGAAACTTCCGGATTTACGAGAGTTTTTCCGTACCGCCGATAATACAAGACAAGACCGGATAAGAGAAACGAACGAGAAGCCCCGAGCGAATGGAGTATTTACAGTATTTACGGCGAAGTTATACCAGCTGCAATCTCGTTAGCTAGTTGGAGCTAACTTCTTTTTCCTTCTCAAATAACTTATTTAAGCTTTTCCTTATAAGCCCTTGCCTCTCTGTTTAGATTTAAAGAAAATTAGCTCCGTCTTTGTGCTCGGACTTTTTAAATCTTTTATTTTGCCACAATTTCGCTAAACATTTTCTGATCTTTCAATTCCAACAGAGTGCGCCCGAGTCTCGTTACCGGAAATGGCCAACAGACGCAAGCACCTCCGCCCTATTACGCTGAAAATAAAGCGCTTGAACATAGTTTGGACCATGCACTTGCTCTTGAGGAGTCAAAGACTCCCGCGTACGCGCAGCCTGGTTATGGCTACCACCAGCCGAATCATAACATCAATGGTGAGAATGGTAAATATACGTTTGTACTAACAAGAGCCAAGAAAAGTCCCTCTGGAAACTAACCGCAGTTCATTTTTCCAATCCTGATGTTTCCGAACTAAACAAATCTCTGTAATGGCGCTATAGGAGCCAGATTCATTCTTGTAATTATTTTGAATCAGGCGTCAACATGGGCTACATGGATAACAGCTATTCGAATTCGAATAACGGAGGATCTGTCAACTCTCAAGATTCTATTTGGCAAATGAAAACGGCCGCTGCGAATGGCGTTAATCAACCTTACGACATGGGCGGTTACGGTACCACGGAATCTGATTATCCTGCGCATCCTCACTATCTTCCTCAGCGCGAAGATTATCGCGAGAGTCATAATTTGAGTCGTCAGCAATTCTGCTCGGAGCCTTTCGCCGCTGTTGTTAAATCGCAAAAACACGTTGGTGAGTAAAGGCGCGCGGAATGAAGTCAATGGAATTTCATTAGTATCGGATTTCAGTGATTCACTCATGGAAATGTCTTTATGGTACTTTTATCAGATTCGCCATACGACGTCTCGGGGCTCCCCTACCAGGAAGGCTACGACGAGGACACGAAGCCACCGCAACAAGTGAGTCTCTCGTATGACGAAAGCCTCGAATCCGGATATTCCACCCCCAACAGCCGTGGCCGTAGGATCATCAGAGAAATAATCGTCTGAGATCAGCCCACCGGCGCGCGAGCCGGAAAAACGCGAACCACCTGGTTATAGCAGCAGGCCCCTCATCACATGGAGATCGTAATTGAGAATCCTGGCGAAGGTAACGCGAGGATGATTCATCAGCGTCCGTACCACGTACCTTACGTTACCGGGGGCTCGCCAGTTCCTGAATACTACGGAGGTCTCAAGACGCCGTCTCCGCAACGGGACTTCCTGGCTAGTTCCGAGCACGAAGGCCCGACTTCGGTACGTCGTGTCGATAGGTCAGGATTACTGGAGATCGCTGAAGCTGAGCCAAGGTCCACGCAGAGGCTTCTCACTGGTGCCGAGAAAGTTCTCAACGTCGGCACCCTCAGACGAGCCGATCGTTCGGGATTCCTCGAAGCCGTACCGGAAGTGCCTGATCAAAATTTCCAAACATCCGGCGAACCGAGTAACATTCCTGATAATCAGGGTAGACCAATCAGAGAGAGACATCTGACTGGAGCCGAGATGGATGAAGAGAATCGTTATCCGCTCAGCCTAAGCCCCAGATCACGTCCCACCTCCAGGTCTCCCATTTCGGATCGAGATTGTTCGGAAGGAAGATCATCCGGCGAGACGCACGATTCTCTGGAAGATAGAAAGAGTCATCCGTTTGATACGAAGAGAAGGATAACGGGTAGTTCTCAAGTTTTTGCTTCTGGTGTCTCCAGTAACCTTGAACCTTCATCGACGACAACGACCACGGCGCCGGGTCACCTATGTCTGCAGGAGCGAAGAGCAGCAGGTTTCAGTCCTATATCAACGAGAATAACTCCATTGGTGGTAAACAGTCTAGATATCGATCAGTCCAAGTCCAGAGGACAATTTGCTCCTATCGATCCTGGATCGAATCGCAAGCGTCAATCCTGCATGGAATTCCTTAAAGATTCTCCGTACTTCTCAACAGACGGGAACAGTACTCTTCCCCGCGATACTCGCGAGACTTTCGAGAGACTTCACTCCCGATCCCGTCTCACGTCGCCGTTAACGGTGACCTCGACGACGTCTTCGGGCAATTCCTCAACGGATCCCTTGAACCCGACGGAACTGGGCTCCTGCCGGGAAAAAAGTTCCGAACTCCTTGGCAGGCTCAGTCCCAGGTTACGTGCCGACAGACAATCGCCGATGACGCTGTCGATACCGGATGTGATAGAGGCCCATGGCTCATCGGCGATTGCCAGGGCGGATCGGAAGAGAGAAGTTCCGGACGGTGAAAGGGCAGAAGCGGAGGGTTGCGAACACACGGCTATTGAAAGTCTCGAGGAAACCAGGGTGTCCTACAAAGCGCCGAATAAGCTTATACACAACGACAACATACAGACACTGCGCGTAATTATTCTGTCGGAACAGTTATGAGGCACAGTAAGGAGTACTGGTCTTGCACGATGCGGAGAATCTAGCGAAGGAAAATGTTCATGGATCTTTTTTTGAAAATGCGCTCGATACTCGACGCACCACTAGTAACATCCAAAAAATGGAAAATTACAAGAGTTTATTTGTCCAATGCGTTATGGGCAGGACTCGCGAAATAGGACGCTTATTGTGAGAAAGGCTGAAAGACAGCCACATGAGGCCATACTTTAAAAGGGAAAGAGACGTGGGGCGTCCCTCTGAGAAGAGTGATGCTGCGAGTGACGAGATTATATCCCGAATGACGTGAGCGGCAAAGTCGATACTTCGTGTATTTTCTACATTCTTTTTATCCATTATAAGGTGATTTTTAAAATCTCAGAAGCGACGTCGGTTGCCCGAGTGGATTTATCCATTTATTCCTTTTAACATTCGATCCTCTTATTTCTCCGATATTTTTCATTTTCTTTCATCGCGAATCGTTTCTCGTTACCCTCGTTACTTGCAGTTCCAACGCGAGGCACAAAGGACGGCTCTAACCTAAAAACTTAACGAACGAGTATTCGATAATACATCATTGTAATGGTAAAAACAAATTGGCTCTTACCGCGATTAACGTTCGGAGTCGAACACGCGAGTTGAAAAATTTCACGAAAACTTTTATCTCGTACATTACCACCACGTTGAATCGATAATTTGAACTTAAAATATTTTTTCGTAACGCACTCGAGCGACGATGTACACAGAACCTGATGTTCGACGTAACTTTTCCTTTTGAAAATATTTATACGCTTCGCGACGCCGTAGAAGACCAAAGATACGGAGTGGGTCGTGGGTAAAAAATGTGACGCGTCTTATTTGTGACAGGGAGAACGTTCTGTCCTTCTCCCAATCACGAATAAGAGAAGTGCGTGTGTCGCGCGTGGAGCTGGAAGTCAGTAATAAAAACGAGAAAGCGAAAAATGTTGAGAAGAGGAGAAAATTAGAATGGAAAGGTATAAAGGAAAGAAAGTTTGGTACAAAAATAATAAGATTTCGCGCTTTCCCTCCTCAACCGACGTCTTGGCTTATTGCGGTTTCGATGTATTTTATACTTTTATATCGTGGGCGATGCTGTGACTTAGCGACGAATGATTGTGATCCCGCGTAGTGTGATCTGATGTTATATTTATCGATGTGACGTGATCAATTACTCTAAGTAAAAAAAAAAAAAATAACGTTCATAGGCATATAGACGTATTTCTCTGACTAAAGCAGATCTCGGGTTAAAAATTCGCGTGCCGAGTATGTGACGTACTTACGATTAATTGGAGGAGGAAACGCGAGACAAAGATAAAGCGAAAGAGAAGCTCTCGTCTCGGGCTGGTAAATGCATTTTTCTTTTGTACGAGCCTCTCCAAGTATTTAGTGTAAATATAATGTAACTAAGGAGTAAGGTACTTAATAAGTAAAACTCAATGTGTTCTCATATTACGTAATCTAGAATTGCGACCCTTTCGGATTCCTTCCGCCTCCTAGTCGCGCGATGAGCGAAGCGAGTAGGAAGCCGCCAGGATCGGGACTTACGGAAAGCAAAAGAGGAACGAAAGGAGGAAAGACGGAGAAAGGGCTTTAGGGAACGATTATGAAAAATGCGAGCCATACGAAGACTCTACGTACTCGGCCCGAAAGGGCAAAGTGGGCGCGTTGACCCACGTGCGTGTTTTCGTTACTTACGAGGAGAACCGATCGACTCTGTCGGAAGTTTTTATTTTTCTAACCGATCTGCGGCGTAGAAGCGTGTGCATTGCGCAATACTAGAAATATCCACCTAATGTTCATAATTCCCAATCCCTTTTAAAAATCCAATCATTTTTTTAATCCCTTTCGTTACGCGATAGGAGCGAGCGGGAACGGGATATATATATATATATTTTTTTTAAATATTTTTTTTCCTCCCTTTTATTTTCGTACGTGCGATCGTACTTGTGATCTCATTTGCCCGTAGAGCACATTTTTCGTGGGAAGTCATCGTTTTCTTATCCGAACGAACTTCGATGTTAGTTCCAATGAATTTTTTTATAAAATTAAAACTTAATTCACGCACATGCATTTTTGTGATGAGTGGGAGATACGGAGAGTCAGAGAAAATCGAGCGAATGTGGGAGAATGTTAAATAGAGATCTATATATAAATATATATGTATACAAGTAACTTTCCTTGACAGAAGATTGTACATGGGAATTCTGTACAATTGACAGACGCGTCACGCCGACGCTCGGCGTCTCTCCGAACGTCGATAGACACGATCGAAGTGTCGTTAAGTCGTGCGATTCTCGTAAACGGTGTTCACTTTCTGCCCGAACACCTGCGACCAATTAGTTAGGCGCGAAATTTCTCTGGAGTATCTGGCCGAACTCGACTGAGAGAGAGAGAGAGAGAGAGAGAGAGAGAGAGAGAGAGAGAGAGAGAGAGAAAAGAGAAACGAATTATTTTTGCATGACGCAACGTAAACAGGAGACGATTATGTGCGCGAAGGTGACGTGTGTATGATAGACAACATAACGGGTGACTAATTTTTAACGAGCGTCGGCTATCGCGGTTTCCCCATAGGCGAGAGAAGGAGTATCATAGAAGAATTAGAAGCATCGTATATCCATTATTCCAAAGTTTCCAGGTATCCCGTGTCGGTACTTAACCCACTTCATTAGAAAGAAAAATCATCATTCGAGCCAATAAGGCCAAATCTGCTATCATCCTTGCACAATCCTACAGCATCCGGCACCGCCAATTACCTTTGTATAAAAGCGCAGAGAATAATGTACATAGGGAAGACGAGAGAAGTTAACGTTAAGCGCGCTAAGTCTCGTATAAATATTTAATTACAACGTAATTAAAAGCGAAGAAATAAATTTTAGAATGTTACACACCACAATATTGTCCCACCCCTTTTATCCCTTATCACAGCTAACATTCTTTAAGATACGAAACACTTATTAGATAGCGAACACGTTGAACAGTGGTTAAGCCATTTTGACTTTTGACTTCGTCAAGATTTCTCGTGTAATAATTCGAACGACGCGAACAGAGCCGTTTATATTATCGATTATATTTTGTATATATACATACGTCAAATTATATATTAATTATTATTGGCCCCATCCCACCCTCTGTCCCGCTATTATTCATTATTATTCATTATTAATTATGTATTACGACATTATTATGAATTATTATTTGTACAAATTTTATGTTGCAATATAAATAAATGATAAAGTGACAGTTTCCGCGAGGAAGAATGCATTTTATTCTATTTACGCTTTTTCTTTTTAACTTCTTCGTCTCGACAATCGTCTCTGGACATTTCTCAGTCTCAGGCTTCTCTCGTATTACGAGAATAGAAGAGAGCGAGAGACCGAGTGTAACTAAACGAGAGCTGGTACGGTTCGCACTCGCCGGATGTCACGGACAATGGCTTTGCTGTTCCCACAGATCCACAGTAGCATCGCGCCTAATTATCCGAGTTACGGCTCTGCGGTTCCGTTGCGAATTCCCACTAATGTTGCTTTGTATGTCATTTTTTATACCACTTCTATTTACAGCACGTATAAATGCCTGCACTGAAAATTATCCTGATAACACGACTTTTTAGCCCTCCAGGGTCACTGCGCTATCGACGGTAACTTTTATTTGCTCGAGTCTAATTATCCTTGGAGATATCGGTTCGTCGCGAACGTCGAGCTTCGCGACGCCTCGAGGCGCCATCGGTCGTCCGCTCGTGGAAATTCAAGACGAGAATAACCCACGGACGATAACTAACCTTTAAACTCTGCACTCAATAAAATATCCCTAGACTCAGTAGTCGATTGTTCCTTCCTAGAGTAAGTATACCTAAACTGATTTAAATATTGATATTTCACATGCAATCATAAAACGATTTACTTATTGCTACTAATAATATGCATTCTTCGTATTTTATAAAGAGCTCAGCTAATAGTACTTCTTATGGTTGTATTATTGTTGAAGCTATTTAACACAGGCAGAAAATTTGGAAAATTATGACCGTTATCCCTTGTAATTGCAGACACAACAATTCTTCACGCTTGCGCTGCTATCAAACGAACCAGAGGTATCGAGAAACTTTGCGTCCCGACGCCAGTATCTAGGCGTCCCCGATACCAATAGAATTCCCAGTACATAACCCTAAATAGCACTTTTACTGTGGCAGTTGGATTATCGTTGAATATTAAAAATTGTGTCATTGCTGTTTAACACCGGCAAAGTAGGACATGCGTGACCCAGTGTACTCGACGTAAAACTAGTGTTACATCGTGTTTGGATATACGACACTGCCAGGCTCAGGTGCTACGAGGATTTTAGTATGTAAATATTCATGATTTATTATCCAGCTGACCAGTTGCAAACGGTACGTGGATTTAAATGGGGCAAAGCTTTGTCACGACGTGGGGAAAACATTATAGTTTCTATTGGTTCCTGACCGTTCCTGATCGTCCCGTTTAGGTCAACGCACCTTCGACCGACCGCTGCGGCTGCTCGCCGGCAAACGCATCGTAGCGAGAAAATATGTTTGCAGGGCCGCAGGAAAGACATTGGGGCGACAGAAGTTCTTACGATTACGACGGATCTCATCGACGTGGTAAGTGTGGCAATTTCTTTCATCCCTTCTTCCCTTTTATTGTCTTAACTTTACTGGGGAAAAGGTAAACGTAGAAAATTTAATGATGGGTTTCTTTTGAAATTCAAAAGCCTTATTTTCTTACCTGCAGAGTGAAAAGTGACCTGATCACTCTGACTATGGAAAATTCCCGACCCTTTCGAGCTAATCCACATGTACCGTGGCGGCCGAGTTAATCCACGTCATAGACCAGCCCACATAGATTTTTATAACATTGGGGTGGATTTCCGTACCATGTAAAATTAAATCCACTTAATTGCTGAAACTTTATGCGAAGCCCCGAGTATGTTCAACTCCATGATAATTCAAATGAATGTCCTGTTTGTTTATAGATTTACGTGAAAACGTCGAGTATTTCTAACAAGTGTCAGACGTCGGTATGCAATTCGTTTAAAGCAACCAGAAACAGTTATTCGTGGACAAGGATTTAAAATGCAATTATATGACGAGACTAAGAATGCAGGTATCGTTAAGCCGCACTTATAGCTTTGCAGATCTCGACAAATGATACGTCGTCCCGTGATCGCCGGTTGAGATGGAACGAACGTCAGGCGTCTCGACGCCCGGTATTCCCGTCTATCGACCGGCAATGGAACTCGAGGACGAGGAAGGCGCAGCCGCGAATCCGGCGCGGCCCGCGAGACAGAAGCTGCGCGACATCGCCCGCTTCTGTATCAACTCTCTGAGAGCTTTCTACGCTGGGGATGCTGCGAACGACCCTGTGATTCTGTCAGACCCCATTATGGGGAATCGGCAGAGCGATGCGAAGAAAAGAGCCCGAAAAGGAAAAAGTGGAAGTTCAACCGAAGTCGAGGAGAAAAGCTCGACCTCGAAACACTCAAAAAGTTTGGACAGTCTGCTGGATGAACCTGTTGGAGTCTCCTTCGAGAAGGTCCAGACACCTGGGAAAAGACCGGCGCCCAAACCACCTACTATCAAGGTTAGTTCGCCCCTTGGTATGTAGCAGTACAGCATGGTGAGATAAAATAAAAAAGATAAAATCTAAGAACAGGCTGCTGTTGTGTCTCGCTAGGTCCCGCTAGAAAAACAAGAAGAGTCCCAGATTCAGATACTCGAATATACCGAGAGGGACGAGAAACCAATCGTGCCAGAAGAATCGGCGGTGCTATCCGATCCTGGACCCCCACCGGCGGCTGATTGTGAGACCCAGCATGACTCCGAGTCCGCGCCTGGGCCTGTGGCTGTACCGATGCCGGCGACGGTGACGGTGGATGTGCCGAGAGGGCCGGCAGGCCCGCCGAAGCAACAGGGGGGACCTCCGATATCCATGGGGTCCCCAGAGGCCCCACCACTCAGTGTTTTGTCAGTCCCAACCAGCGGGCCTTCTCTCCTCGTCACGGACTCGTGGCATCGAGCGAACAAGCCCCTGATTACCCCAGAACTTTCGACTCCGGCCAGCCAAGAGTCATCAAGCGACAGTGTATTCACCGAACCCGAAGGCATGGTCACCGAAAACGAGAGACAGCCCTTGGAAAAGGCCCTGACCGCCCTCTCCCTGGAGCCCAGGGACGACAATAGGAAAGCCCAGTTTACAGTTTCAAGACATAAGAAAATCGAATTACCCTGTGCTTCGTCGAGACTCTGTAAGTAAACTTCTACTTTGTGTCCAATTTCACTTTAAGTTTTAGTTACGTCTAGTTGGTAACCATATTCACGTTATAGATTGCAACGAACTACAATATCGCAATGATTGGCGAATAACTTCGCCTTGTACACACATATATATATATATTTCTCTTATTTGCTATATACGCGATTTTCTCGTTACACGACTTTCAGTCTTTATTCTCGATATCGACCTTTGACCCCCGTGCGCGTGTTTAATCTCGTGTTTGTCAATAATGTGTCTCAGCAACAACGCGACAGTCTCGAACAGAAGCTACCGACTATAGTGTACTGTACTTTAGTGTTCCGGATTGTATCGTTAGAATTAAGTCTGCATTGAATTAGCAGTAGGATGTACTAGGTTTCAGTATCATTCAGTGACTGAAAACGTCACTGTCATTTTAACGTTTTCCTCGTCTCTCAGTTCGGTTATCTGGCAAACAGTGAATAGTGAAATATCAAAATTCGTAGAAAATGGTCTGGTACCCGCACAGAAGAAGGCCGTCGGTTTCAAGTAACGCACATATTTCAGCTGTGGTGCAGGCGTCCCCTGGAGGACTGACGCCGGAAGCGCACGCACGAAGACACAGTGCCAATGAATCATCCCCTGGTGACAGTGCTGTACTCAGAAGGGTAGCAAGTTTCACTTTGGACAGATCAACCCTCGACAGCCGGAACAATTCCCGATCGAAGTTAATTCCGCAGAAACTGGACTTTCGACTATACGAAAGATTCGAAGGTAAGTTTTTTAAATTTTTTACATTTTCCGCGCTTATATTTTCAAAAAAAAAAAGAAACGTCAATGTTACTCAGCCTGAAATGACACAAGAATATAATTATGTGAATGACATGTAGTATTATCAGAGGGAGTCCCTTATCTAAATCAGTATCGTTTGCCAATAAATGTTCATAATCATTAACCGCTGTTTTTTCACCAGCGACGCAAGATAATCCCCAAATTGACTGTTTGCCTTTAAATGACAAGAAGAGGGACTCATCTACTCGCTCGAAAGTCGGCTGATAATGCTGATATGGAGTAACAAGTAAAAAATAGCAAGTGTCTCGATAAGCCCAAGATAAAGCCACGGATGAGGAGAAACGCCAAAGTCTTTTACCGTTAGTGTAGAAATAAACGGAGGTGCCGTAGGAACGCTATCGTTTTTTAACAGTTTCTTTTCGTTCCTCGTTAGCCAAACTGTCTTCGATTCCAATTGGAATTCCGTGCCCAATAATAAGCGCCAAGATGGGATTGCTCCAAGGATACCGTAATCTTTAATAGTTATGAAGCGAACGTTCTTAGAATGAAGAGGAGCAGGGAGAATAATGAGTACCGACACTTTAGCAATCGATTCGATATTAAATATACTCGCGGCTATATATTACATAGCGTGTTCAAGCTGTAAACAGGGAATTATGCAACGATCAAGTTCTAGAGTCATAAGAAAATAATTTCTGAAATCTTAAAGACGCTTTATGAAATATTGTATACCTGTTGCTTTTTATGCACATCTAACGTCTACGGAAATAAATGTTTATGTGATGCTTACGTCAGAGATAATGGGACGAATCGATTAATGATAAATTGAATTGATCACCGGCCTTGGATATTGCGTGGTTACCTGAGTAGCGCAATATTATTTCGAGTGGATGAAACTTTTGTAACAAGTCGCGCCATGTGCTCGGTATCAGTTGAACGTAGTGGCGGAGCGATTAGGAGATATTAGAATATTGGGAGTGTCAGTGTGCAAAGTGATCTCGCGAAGGCATGTGCGTAACGCCAGTAGAGAATTCATTAGTAGTAACGTCATTGATGAAAAATCCCGTGTGTCGTGCTCATAAGAAATCAGTATTATTCTACTCGTGCATTTTCGAGCAGTGGGACGATGAATTTGTGTACCTCGAAAAGAAGGTCCAGGACGGTGATGAGGATAGTGGCAAACGGAGGAAGATTATACCATTGGTCTTGTACCAAGGTTCCAAATCATTCGCACCGCGTGCCAAGAGGTTGAGACTGTACAGGAGAGTCGAGGATTACGGATGCAGACACATCACGTATCTGCTGACGACAATTTCCATCAATAGGGATTTAGTAGAGACGTACCTGAGGAAACAAAAATGTGGTAAAGAACTGAAATCGCACAAAATAGTATGTAACAAATAATAATTGGAACATAGGCGGAACTCATGTTTTTATTTTAAAACTTACCAATGGGTAAAATTTATTTACACGTGTGTGAATGAGAACTTGGTATCACTGACATTAACATAAAGCAGATCTTGCCAGTCACGTGTTTCATACGCACGTCCCACTCGCTTGACATTCGTTCTGCAGCAGCTTAGCTGCGAAAAGTAATACGTTGGGCGTTGGGCTTCGGCAGGCAGTTTAAAGCGGAAATTCAGTTAGGACAGGAAGTGCGAAGTCACGGAAGCAGGTGGTCACGGTTAGGTAGTCCCGAGGGACGAGTGTCCTAAAGTCATATATTCATTTAAAGTCCGTTGTCAAAGACGAGGGCGAGCCGGTCTGGGTGCGGTTTCTTTGCCCAGTGCGAGTACTTGACGAAACCGTCTGTCAAACGACGTGAAATCTTGCTCCGGGTTAGATCTTCTTCTGGAAGTGGCCCGAGCTGAATTTTTAAGGGTATCTGGCAAACAGCACTGCACAGGAACTTTTCGTAGGCTTTTCTTGCGATACTTTCGAAATCGATGGTAGGATAATCCGTAGGCGGGCAAAACCTTCGTGAATATCAAATCTGAAAGTGAAAGAGCAATGTTAGGATTATGTTAGCAGTTTAGTCATTGGTGAGTCCACCATTCGTTTTATTTTACCTGACGGAGTTATTGTTCCATAGAATTTCATTGAGTAAGATCACTCATGTTTTGGACAGTCTACCTGGAAGACGTTCGGTCGTAAATTGATCAAAAGCTGTGAATTTGAAAGTTCTCTTTCGTTATTGATTCATACAACAAAGGTTTTGGACTTTTATGTTCATTTTAGATTCTTTGGGTAACCCGTTTGTTTTTAATTTCAGGTCAGCGCCTGATCAACTGGTTGACCTCAGGAATGCCTGAACATCTCAAATCACAGTTGACGGAGCCAGAACTGAGAAAGCTGTGTTCTACGTTCTGCGGGCACTTAGTTAACGCCGGTGCCCTTCGACCTTTGCAGGACAAAGGAGTCGCAAAGGACACAGTCTTCACGGTAAGGACCAGGTCGTTTCTAAGAGTGGATGGGTACTAATGGGTTCCATCGACTTCAGCCGGATCAGATGTATTACTGGACCCACCATGAGGCACCAGCGCCAATTCCAAGTAGTCCTGGGAAGCTCACCCTGGAATCTTGGGCACCGGAAAACTTACGGCGACTCGAGGACGAACTGAGTTCACTGAGAGCTGAGGTAGAGCGTTTGCGAAAATTGGTGAAGGAATCGCAGGACGATGCCAAAGGTCAATCGACGCAAACGTCACCAACCGATTTGTCACCGATCAATGCAAGAAACGCAAGTTCGCCGATGAAACGAAATGGAGACGCAGCTTCCAGAGAGAGTGGCAGGTTCACTGAGAGTTCTTTAGAAATTTCTCCGATACCTTCGGAGAAGATCTGCTCGTTTAGATCAGAAGATTCTCGGTTCGATGCTGCGATGCCATCCAGTTTATCACCAATATCTGAAATTGAGAAGTTGGCTGAAGAAACGAACGAAGTCCAGTACCTTAATAATCGAGAAAAGGTCAATTCTGCGGCAACGTCAGATCCGATTAATGACCTTGAGAATCCTCTGGAGAACGCTGATGATAGTATTATGGAGTTAACGGGAAAAATGAAAAGACTGAATATCGATAAAGGAGCGAAACCTAATATCGAAAAAGAAAAAGATGAGGAATCTGGTCAAATTAATAAACAAAACCTCACTACACAGATTACTGAAAATTGGAGTCGTAAGTTGAATCTTATCGAAACTGTCAATGATTTGGTTACAACTCCTGAATCTTCGAAGAAAATTAATACGCAGACGCTGAATTTCGGGACATCGAGGGAAACGAGGGATTCTACAAAAATGGAATCCAAAACGGTACAGATTCAAAAAGTTAATACGGATTCATCTTTCGCATCGCCTCCTCCACCACCACCGTCAATGCCTGACGCAGAAGGACTAACGCTGTTTTCTGTATCTTCTCAAACTGGTCTACCAACTTCTACGTCGATCCCAGAGATTAAATTGATACCATTGACATCTACACAACGATTGGCAGAACCAGCTCTGTCACCCACGATGCCAGAATTTATAAGATCACCACCACCACCACCACCACCATCACCGCCGCCGCCGCCGCCTCCGATGCCTGAAATGACAGGACCACCACCACCTCCAATGCCTGGAATCGCGGGACCACCTCCGCCACCTCCAATGCCTGGAATGTCGGGACCACCTCCGCCACCTCCAATGCCTGGTATGGCGGGACCACCTGCGCCACCTCCAATGCCTGGAATGTCGGGACCACCTCCGCCACCTCCAATGCCTGGAATGGCGGGACCACCACCTCCACCGCTGCCGGGAATGGGAGGTTTAGCACCACCTGGATTACCCGGATCCGCTATGCCTCCACCACCTCCACCAATGGGTGGACCATCACCTTTTCCATCACCACCGGTCGGAGGCTGGAATCCTCCTAGCAGAGCTGGTAAGTATCCATCGCCAAAATCATAAAAACAAAAAATTTATAGTCAAATTAGAATAATCTAAAATAATGACTGCCGAATAGTGATGAGGAAACAACCGTTAAATCCTGAGATTCCTATGAAGCCACTCTATTGGACTAGGTTACTGGTACCAGCAAATACACCTCTGGTTGCTATTGAAACACCTGACTCTCCTCCTCAGGTGAGAAATGACATATTCTACAGTCGTAAAACGTAATATCTCATGAATAAAATTTCATAATGAACAAAATAATTGAAGGTTCCGCTCTGGGCAGAATTAGAAGAAGAGAAGAATCTCGACATGAAAGAATTCTCAGACCTGTTTTCTCGTCAAGTGACGGAAAGAAAGCCAACGAAGAAAAAAGAAAACGTGGACAAACTCTCAAAGATTCAACCTGCAAAAATACTGGACTCAAAGCGATCAAAAATGGTTGGTATTCTCGAGAAGAGTTTGCACGTGGATTTCTGTGAAGTTGAAAACGCTGTATACAATTTGGATACAACCATAGTCAGCCTGGAAGCATTACAGCAAATTTATGAAGTCGTAAGTGATGATTATTTTTTTAACATAAAATTTCATTTGCAACTAGAAACTAATTGATCAATATTACAGAGACCAACGGCAAAGGAATTGGAAGATATTACTGCGCACGAAGAGGCGCAACCGGAAGTTCCATTAGACAGACCAGAATTATTTTTGAAACGTCTCTCGAAAATAAAACACTTCACCGAAAGAATATCCTGTCTGATGTTCCAATCGGAATTCCAAGATGCCGTCTCGACAGTTTCCTCAAAATTGACGAATCTTCGTTCGACCTGCGACTATCTGAGAAGCTCAAATTCCTTGAAAAAAGTAATGGCTCTTATTTTAACCCTGGGAAATTACATGAACGGCGGAAATCGGATGCGAGGCCAGGCTGACGGCTTCGGCCTGGAGATTCTCAGCAAATTGAAAGACGTTAAGTCGAAAATACCTGGAGTGACGTTGTTGCACTATGTGGTAAGGGTTCAATTAGCGCAGAAAACGGACTACAATTTTGATGAACCGTTACCGTTACCGGTTCCAGAGCCAGCCGATGTAGAGGCGGCTTCTACTATCAATTTTGAGGACATTAAGAAGGAGCTCGATAAGCTCGAAAAGGAATTGGACGGTAAGTCAACAATTATTACTGTCAAATGTTTACGACTTCAATTTTGAAAAGTCAAAGGGACTGGAACCATTTTTATTTAAACACAAAAATCCTCCACTAAGGACAAGCCTTTAATTTATAGCGTGCAAAGTCAAAAGTAAAATGGTCATCGAAGCAAGTCCTGAGACCGCAGGTCCTTTTAAGGAAAAAATGGACTCCTTCCTAAACAGAGCAGTGGTCGAACTTGCTAATGAGAAGGAAGCCTTGCAGGAAGCAAAGATAAAATTTAAAGCTGTAATGCAATTTTATCAGTATGTTCCTAAAGGAGCGACTCTTGACACAGCTGATCCGAATGATTTTTTTGTTCTATGGCTGGGATTTTGTCAGGATTTCAAAGTAAGTCACAATAATTCTAATTAAACAAGGAGTGAATGACAAGTTGATATAATCATTTGCATATATTTCAGGATATATGGAAAAAGGAGCAGCAACGAATACGGAAGGAGAAAATGAAGGAAGTGCAAAGAAAATACGAAGGAAAGCGTCAAGTGAAATCAATGAAGATGAGCGACACTGGACTTAAGGCACGTTTACAAAAATTAGCAGGCAGAAGGTAGCTTGCTAGAGAGCTTAGAGTAGTGTGAGCACAAATAGGAAATAATTACAAATCATACTGAATTTTAATTTGTTAAATGTCGTGCTCATTGCCAGTATCAAAAGGAGGAAGTCGGTGCGAGAAGGAGTTCAACCGATTGTATATTACCGTCAACTATTTTGTCTTAGTTTCAAATACGATTGATCTCAATTAAATTTCTAATCGTGTCCATTTGTTTCAAATTTATGTGTCAAAAGACATTTTATACTTTATCATGACATGGCTGGTAGCTTATTATTCAAATTCTCTTAATTTCTTGATTTTCTTTGTATTTATTTACTTAATTTATTCCTCAGCATCTTTATATTCTTCATAAATTGGGTCTCATACATATATGTGTTTGTATATTATAATAACCATCTCTTTCTAGTATATATCATATATGTATGAGATATTCCTTCGGCTGGGGTTGAACTGTTCCTTCTTCCACCAAACATTCTCTATGCCTAAGATGTCATTATAAAATGTTTATAATGTTCTCAGAGAATCATTTACATTATGCTGCTACTCAATTGTTATTTCTACATTACACGTACAAATTGTAATTACATATTTATTGAATGAGAAACAAATATTTATTAAAGAGGATTTATACGAAGCTTCTCAGGTATCATGAATATACATGAACTTGAATGTAAACATCTAACACTAACGATTAAGTGACAAAAATATTCAAATTTAATAGACATTATGTCTGACAACCAATGAGCCTAGTAAAATATAATTTAAGAATTGGATAAGATAACAAGCGTATAAAACTTGAATGGGACAAGTTTGTAAAATACCAACAAAATCACAATTTGTTTACCTGCAGTGCATCAACAGAAGAAATCTTTTTTTTCCTCTGCATCTCAGAATAATCAATTTTTCAACCTCTCACATTTGCATGCTTGACAACCGGTTGACATATGCTACAGAGACGAATAGGAAAGATTGCCAATGAGCCGATTTTCATCAGACTTGAGTAGGGAGATGCACAACGTAACGGATTTAGGTGATACCAAAATTATGATGTTAAATCGTAGCGACGAGTTTGGAAGTAGGATTTTGCGATCATTGCCTCCGTCGACAATGCGAATCCCAACGTAGCCGAGCTAAACGTGAATAGGAACGTGTAGCTTGGTGGGCAGAGGTTCTCTGCTACTCACCGCTGGTTCCCAAAACAATCCTTAGAACGAGACCGTGAACTATAGAACTTCTCAACAACTATTGAAAAAGCCTACTGTTGAAACATTTTTAAGACATTTTTAAGCAAGTCCGGTGCCAACTTGACACCCGTGTAGCACCTCAATTTTTGAGAAATGCTTCAGTGCTAACTTTACGTAGGTAAGAAAAAAGCATTCGCCCAGAAGCCCAGGACGTCGATTGTGTAACTCAAATGTAGTGAAAATACGAAAAGTGAATAGCTGTTAACCAATCGTTGTACTTGTCTTCTTCTGAACCTAATACGCGATTGGCTAACAGCTATTCACTTTTCGTATTTTCACTACATTATAGTTACACAATCGATCCCCAGTAGTGGCAATTGATTTTCTGATACTTCACCCTCTATCAGGGCATAAAGCCAAAAAGGAATAAGAAGAAGAAGGAAGAGAGAAGACGAAGAAAAAAATTAGTTGCACAGAAATATCGAAAATTCAAAAAATTGAATAAAGCTTTCCGAATACTACTAAATATTATCGTATCTTGATTTACTTTCAAAATTTACACGAAATATACAATTGATGATAAA